AGCCAGCGCTGTCCGAAGACGTTTCCGTGGTCCTGTGGCCGGCATGACTAAACACCAAGGCGCACGGAACGCTGTTACCTTCCCACCGAAGTGGTACCTATTTATCTATTTGCAATTTCTTGCTTTCGAACTGCTAGGTTAGCAGGAGCTGGAACTAGAGACGGGAGCTCACCCTGTCATGCGGCACACTCGGGTCTCGAACTGCTGAACTACTGACCTTCCACAGCCTGCAGTTCAGCATCTTAACCACTTGAGCCACTGCAGCTCCATTGATTTGATCTAGAACCCTCTTAATTTATCTTTTTGGTGGTACCCATAAAACTCTCCTCCAGGAACACATTTCAAATGAATCAACTTAAACCGTTTGTTTTAAAGATCGGGAAAAAAGTGTTAGATCAAATAATGCGGAGGTCCATTTTATTCTGGTGTACGGGGTATCTTTACAACAAAAAGTGCAGCAGATCAGTTACATTTCGCTTACAACAATATCTAACTTACCCTTGCTTGAAAGAATTATTAAATAGATCTAATAAATTAGATGGAATAGATCTAATAGATCTACCAAATGGATGGATTTGTTATCAAGAGTGAGCAGTTCTAGCAGATATTATTTAATCTTCAATAGATTCCTTTGGACACACTTAAGTTTAAATTCCCAGTTTCTCACAAGCTGGTAGTTTTTTTCATCAAAGCTATGTATCTAATTCCCAACTGTGCCCCTGTCTATGGATATCTAAATCTGCAGATAGGGGGCACACTTACCCCAAACAGGCTTTTCTGCAAACTTGGGTGACCCCCTAGGTTTGCAGAAAAATCTGAAAAGTTAAAAAAAATAAATGGGGGGTTAACCCCCCCTCAAAAAAAGCATTGTCTGCACACACACAGGCAGCCGACTTACTGTAGAGCAGCTCGAAATGGGTCTGGCAGTTGCCGCAGTCACAGAACCTCGGAACTGGTGGGGTTGGGGAAAATTCGATGGGTCCTCCAGAGCTACTCTGGGTGAGCAGTAGAGAACAGGCGGGGGGAGGAACATTTGATAGGCTTGATCAGAGCTACTCTGGGAGAGCCACAGAGAGCAGCGGGGGGGGGGGATGGGAAGGCAGTGGGCCTGGCAGCAGCTTCAGGGGAGTCTGGGGGCCACGCCAGGTCTGACAAGAAAGTGTGGGGGAAGATGGGATTCCCCCCCCCACACAAGTGTCATGGGCACCCACTTGTTAATATAACATTTAATACAAATTCTGGTTGTTGATTGTTGATACTGCTGTGACAGATTGTCTTACTAGAATGTATGGTCCTCAGAAGAGCAATTCTCAAATTCTGGGCCCAAAGAAAACTGCAAGGAATAAGTTAGTTAAATAATGAATCTATCAGCCCAGAGTATCTGACCACAAAGAATCTGTTCTGTCTCTGATGATTAATTGATCTCTCATTGCACCACCCATCGGGCACAGGTTATTCTGTACTGATTTTGCATCAGCCGTTAGGGTTTTTTCAGTCACCCTTACACAAATACGGGAATTTCCTCCTCACCAAGGAGGCTGCCTGCAGTATCTCTGATGATTCATTGATCAGCTTTTGCCTCTGTCCATTCAAGTCAGTTTGGTGTAGTGGTTAAGTGGGAGGACTCTAATCTGGGAGAACCGGGTCTGATTCCCCACTCCTCCACTTGCAGCTGCTGGATGACCTTGGGCAAGCCATAGTTCTGGCACAGCTGTTCTTGAAAAAGAGCAGTTTCTGTCAGAGCTCTCTCAGCCCCACCCACCTCACAGGCTGTCTGTTGTGTGGAGGGGGAGGGAAAGGAGATTGTAAATTGCTATGAGACTCCTTTGGGTAGGGAAGGGCGGGGTATAAATCCAATCTCTTCTTCTTCAATCTCTCCTGGAAATGGGTAGTTCTGTCATGTCATGTCTTTACATCAGGTGTGACGGAATTCTTCACTCAGCTCAGCACAGGTCTGGAGGGATTACTTTGTTCAGAGTAGGCTTGCATGTTATGCCTCTGCGTGAGTCCCTGACCTGGGCTCACTTCCAGCCACTTGGCAAATTCAGAATAGGGGCACATGCAAACACACAAAATATGGGCTCCTATGTGAGCTAGTAGATTTTACTCAGACACCCCAGAAAACGAACCTTTTGTCGGTGTAGGGGTAAAGTATGCTTCCAATTTCACTTTATTGAAAAAGGTGTCCCTTAGCTATCAGATATCTGCCAATTGCTGCCTTAGAAATTAATGTTTGGTTGCAGTTCTCTGAAGAAATCCAAGAAAAATCTGTCTGTGCTTCGATATTCTCTTCAGGAAGCGGCCTGACCAAATAGGGAAGGATCATGCCAAGCTGTTTAATCACACTTCCTCCAAGAAGCTTGAGGTCTCCTGGGATTATCACGTTCTGCTCTCACAACAACCCTGTGAGGAAGACTGATCTGAAAGATGGTGGTCTTGGGTTCAGTGAACATTATGGTTACTTGGAGCCAGTGTGGTGTAGTGGTTAGGAGTGCTCCTAACCCCACTCCTCCACATGCAGCTGCTGGTGTGACCTTGGATCAGTCATAAGTTCTTTCAGAGCTGTTCTCTCAAGAGCAGTTTTCAAGAGAGCTCTCTCAGCCCCACCTACCTCACAGGGTGCCTGTTGTGGGGAGGGGAAGGAAAAGGAGATTGTAAGCCACTCTGAGACTCCTTCGGGTAGAGAAGGGCAGGGGATAAATCCAATCTCTTCTTCTTGAATCTAGATCTCTGGGTTTAACTACTGCACACTACTGCCCCTCTCAGTTAACACTGAACCCTGCTTACTGCACGTATTGTTTCCCTTTTAGGCACGACCTACCAAAGAGCAACGCTGGGGAAGCGCCCTCCTCTCACGAAACCATTCCTTGGAAGAGGAATTTGAACGAGCCAAAGCAGCGGTCGAGGTATTGGCTTATGTTTCGGTAAAAGCACACCGCTCATCGTCTCAGGTTCTCCAGTGCCATGAGCCAGTGGGTTACCTATCAACAGGGGAATTAAAAATACATCCCAGCTTTAGGTAACCTGAGACGAAGAAGAGGTGAAGTTAGCACTCCAGTCCTCAACGTGTCCTTTCGAAAATAACCTCAATTGATTTCGTTACATCCAGATAATTGTTGTACGAGAGCCGCTGTAGAAGGAGTGCTTCAAGCCTCAAAATACATAGGAGCCGCGTTCATTTTAAAGGCCCAAGAGTGCTCTCGCAGGCCACTTGTGCAGCTCAACGCGAGCCCAGTAGCACCTTAGAGACCAACGCGATTCTCGAGGTGTGAGCTTTCGAAAGTCAAAGCGCCCTTCGTCAATCAACTGGAGCGCTGGCTCTCAAAAGCTCATGCCCAGAGAATCTCAAAAGCCTCTGAGGTGCTGCTGGACTGGAACCCAGCTGTTCCAACTTGGCTACTCTCTGAAACTAACTTTAAGGAAGGGAACTTGTGCATGCCTGAGGAATATAACATGAGTATGGAAACCTAGGGAGAGGAAAACAGGGCCAAGAAAGATACAGGCACGAACCCTTCCCACATTGCCTTTCCAGATTTCTGCATGACTTCAGTTTGGTGTAGTGGTTAAGAGCAGCGGACTCTAATCTGGAGAACCAGGTTTGATTCCCCACTCCTCCACATGTAGCCAGCTGGGTGACCTTGGGTCAGTCACAAGTTCCCTCAGAGCTGTTCTCTCAAGAGCAGTTCTCAGAGCTCTCTCAGCCTCACCTACCTCACAAACAGTGTTCCCTCTAAGCTGAGTTAGTGTGAGCTAGTTCACATGTTTTTGTCTTAGCTCAGGAAGGATGGCTCCAGAGCAAACTAATTTATGCAGTAGCCGAATCGCTTTCTCACAACTTTAATGCCGGTAGCTCACAAAGTAGAATTTTTGCTCACAAGACTCCGCAGCTTAGAGGGAGCATTGCTCATGGGGTGTCTGTTGTGGTGAGAGGAAGGGAAGGAGATCATAAGCTGCTCTGAGACGCCGAGTGAAGGACGGGGTATAAACTCAACTCCTCCTCTTTGGTCATCTGAATATATTAAAAGATGTGATGGTGATGAAGCCTCTGGAACTTCCGTGATGTCACAGAAATACAGCAGTTCGGATTCTCTCATGCTAGTATTGGTTGAACTGCTTAGATAGTGCAGGGGGCTGGGCAGACAAGAAACCTAGGCAAGGATGTGCAGACAAAAGAGGGGCCTGGGAGCCATTTGGGGCCTGAGGAGAAACAGGCGTCCGGGGAAGAGAGGGAGTTGTCTGGAGGTTCCATTCATTGCAGCTTGGATGAGCGTCTCAGCCCTAAACACACATCCGTTCCCATGGAGGAATTAGAAGTCTGCATGTACATGCAGATGGTTCAGCGTACATAACAGCTGCAGTGAACACCTCAGATTGCTTGTCTTCCTTCCCCAAGTGCATCCAGTTCCCAGAATTTCCTCCAAGGCCTGGAATCTTCCCTGCCTCAAAAGCCATGCATAGGCATCAGTAGCAAAAACCCAGCTATCACCTTGTGGGATTGGAGTGCTTGGATTTATTAATTTATTTACATTGCTTATAGTCCACCTTTCTCACTGAGACTCAAGGCAAAACCTTGATGTGATGGTATGTGTGGTTGTGTAGCCTTTTTATGGGGAGTCTTACCATTGCAGAAGAGCATGTGGACATCAGTAAAAGAAAATGCAGCACTGAACATCTTTACATACTCATGGACACAATCACATCAGGGTTGCTTTTTGCAGCAGCTTAGCACTGTCCACTTGGTCATTAGTAAGGCTGAATGGGTAATTCAGTCCACAGGATTGGACATCCAATAAGCAAAGCAAATAAGGTCTGGACTGCAGAGTTCTGGAAACAAGCAGAAATTTGGAAAAGCTGGCATGTTAAACAATGCAGAAAGTACATAGCAGGGTCACACTCGTTGCAATAGACAGTACGTGCATATAGAGCAGCACAGTACACAGTCCCTGTATCTTTACCAAAGCATCTTTCTGAAATATTTCATTGCAATACAGTCCTAATGACCTGTGTAAAAAGTGCCCTTCGGAGTAATTCGGTTTTGCATAGTTTGCAGAAAGCCAGGAAGTAGGAGACTACCTGACATCATCAGGCAAGCCATTCCATGAGGTGAAGGCCATGACGCAGAGCGTTGTTTCCGCTCATTGAGTGACTATAAGAACTGGTGATCTCTCTAATCCAGCATCCGGTCTCACACAGTGGCCAGCCAGATGCCCTGAAAGTAGGGTTGCCAGGCTGAACCTGCCAGCCAGCGGAAGGACTGGGGGCAGGGACACGGGGAGGGTGCAGCATCAGCTGTGCTGCTATGTCACTTCCAGGGGAAACCAGAAAACCATGAAGTTGCCATAGATTCCTAGAGGTACCCTATGTCACTTCCGGGTTGCATTCAGAGGTTTCCTGCCCATGAACACTGAGGCTCAATTTAGCCACCATGGCCACAGCCACTGGTTAAGAGCGGTGGACTCTAATCCGGAGAACTGGGGTTAATTCCTCACTCCTCCGCATGCAGCTGCTGGGTGATCTTGGGTCAGTCACAGTTCTCTCAGAGCTGTTCTCTCAAGAACAGTCCTCGAAAGAGCTCTCTCAGCCCCACCTACCTCACAGGGCGTCTGCTGTGGGGAGAGGAAGGGAAGGAGATTGTAAGCTGCTCTGAGTCTCCGAGTGAAGGGCGGGGTATAAATCCAATCGCCTCCTCCTCCTCCTCCATCTAAACCATCCAAACTCCAGACTCTAATCTGGAGAACTGGAGTTAATTCTGCTTGCCTTCACATGGAGCTGCTGGTGTGACCTTGGGTCAGTCACAGTTCTCTCAGAGCTCTCTCAGCTCTCTCAGGGTATCTGTTGTGGGGAAAGGAATGGAAGGAGATTGTAAGCCACTTTGAGACTCCGAGTAAAGGACAGGGTATAAATCTGATCTCCTCCTCCATCTAAACCATCCAAACTAGCGACCGTCAGCACGTCCTGAGTTTTCCGCTTCTTCAGTGATCCAAGTATCTTAGG